TTACTGTCTTAGAAATTGAAATCCATGGTTTCTTTGTGATGTAGCTCAATCCAAGAAAAAGGACAAGGAAGAACAAATCTGCAAAAGCAGCTACTGGGACTCCACTTGCAGCAGCCACTGGGACTCCACTTGCAGCACCTACTGGAACTCCACTTGCAGCACCTACTGGGACAAGGAAGAACAAATTTGTACATCCACTTCCAGTAGAAGGGAGTAGTGTTGTAGCTGAAGACATGACTGAATTTTGGAATGAAGCAACAGAGATGGCATCAAGGTATGACAATGAACCTCAACCTGATGAAATCTCAATTACACAATCAGAGTATGAGGTTGACATTACACAGCCAGAGCATGTTTCTGTTACACCACAACCAGAGAATGTTTGTGTTAGACCTTCTCCCAAAAGGTCTAAATTAGGGTTGACATCAAGGAACAAATTACCACTTAGGAGGGAACCTATGACAAGATCTAGGACAACCATGAAGTCAAGGTTCACCAACACTGTGGACACGCCTGTGAACTTGAATGAATGATATTATGATGTTTGAATTGTAGGCAATGTTGATGTTTTTTTGGTACATAATATGTATGATGGGGTAGATCTTTGTGATGTTTTTTTTTTTTTTTTTTTTTTTTTTCTTTTTTTGTTCTATGTAAGCAGTTAATCCTCACTGTCTCAGCCTTGCTTTTTTGACATCAAAACAAACATTCTAGCTTTGCTTTTAAAACTGAAATTGATAGTGAATGAAATGGTGTTTATTGGCAGCTTTGCTTTGTGTAGCTTTTCTTTGGTTTATAGCTTTGCTTTGGTTTTAAAACTGGCAGTAAGCATGCTTTTAGCTTTGCTGTGAAAAGTAGCACAGGACAATTGACCAAAACAAGAACACTCCATTAATCCATTGATAAACCAAACAACAATATGGAAGCATATACATGTTATTCCCTACAAATACAACAATTGAAAGATAACAAATTAATAGTACAATAAGGACAACTGCACCCAACATCATCATGGATCTACATTTTGTACTCCTATGATTATTCTTAATTTGAATGTCTTCCCATCTGCTCAACTTGCATTTTAAATATGCTACTTCTTCTTCACTTTTGTTAATTTTCTTCAATAACCCCGTATATACTTCTTTGACTTAGGGCACATTGGGGGATCGAACCAAACCACGAATCCATCCTGATAAATTTGCACAAATTAAAATATATATATATAAGTCATTCAATTTCACATTTCTGAATCATCAAACCCAATAATAATAATAATAATAATAATAATAATAATAATAATAATAATAATAATAATAATAATAATAATAATAATAATTCTCACTGCAAAAAATTTTAAAATTTGCATCTAACCTCGCATCTTGAACATTCCCAGTACCTCCTTCCCGGGTTCTCATTAGTCCAAGATGTTCTCAAAACTATTTCTTGCCCATATTCACAAACTTGAATCGAAATCCATTCACCATATACCTTTCGCCTTGTAGTTGACGAACTGGAAGAGTTACAGCTTCCTCGCATAATCCTTCAACCAAATTTGCTTCTTCAGAGAGAGTGTTGCTTCTCTTCAATCTGTCTCGTCAATTTGGAATGAAGAACAGAAGCACTGTGACACCCCGAAAATCTATCCTTTAAACGGAATTAATTATTTAATTAATTCTAAACTTGCTTTGCAAAATCTCTTCCTAATTTCTTAATTAATTAGTCGAAGGACTTAAATTGACCAAATTCCTTGGTTAATTGAATTAGTCAAAAAGTTGTACATGGTGCCTTATGCCTTGTACCTAGTCTTTAATTCCTTCCTAGCCTTAAAGTGATTCAAAGGGGTCCACCTTGCAACTTTTTAGATTTTAGCCTAAAGATCCTACCCCAACCAAGTGAATCCCCAATCATTCCAACTTTTCCATCTCTCTCTACAATTCCCTCTATCTTCTCTCTAAAACCTTAGCTTCTTCTCCAAGCTAAACCAAAACCTCTCCCCAATCTTGCAAGAAATCCTTCAAGATTCCAACTTTCATCCATCCCACCAAGACTCTAGGAGGGGTAAGGCTTAAGCTTAGATAGTGCTTTTAGTTGGTTTCTCCTTATCTTTATCTAAGTTTTGGTTATTTGTGTGGTTTTGATTTGTGTTGGGAAGACCTTGTAGAAGAAGAGTTCCAAGAGAAGGATTAGGGGTTGAAGAAGGTGTACTTAGGTTACAAGAGGTAACCCATGCTCTACAAAACCTATTTTTACATTGCTATGATGATTCTTGATGTTCTATTGATGTTCTTGATGTTCATGAGTGAAATGATGCATATTCTTGTGTTTATGCATGTTTAGACCTTGTATCTAGGGTTCATAAATGTTATTTTTTGAGATTTTCATGTGTTCAAGTTCCTCTATTGTTGAATGTGAGGTTTTGGGTGTTTTCGACTTGAACTTGGCATTGTTGATGTTTTCCCCCCGAAGGGGAATTGTTTTTGAAATCAAGGGAACTCGCAGGCAGACAGCCTACCGCCGTTCCACCTGTGGGGAACGAGAAGGGTGGTGGCAGGGGGGGGGGGGGGGAGCCGCGGGTAGTTGTCCACCCGCTGGTGCATGTGTAGGGGGTGGCGGGTGGTTGTCCACCCACCGTTCCGCCCACTGGTACGTTGTGCTTTGGCATCCCTTTTGTTGAACCGTTGTGTAATTGTGTGTCTCATTTGATGTTTCGTTCATCTAAAATGGTGTCCTAAGTAACCTTGATAAGCTTATGAGTCTTGAATCATGTTTAAGGTCCAACCTTGTGATTCGTTGGATTAATGTGAAGTTATTGACGTTCGTTTGAACCGTTATGTTTATCCTATTGATTTGCATGCTAGTTACGATGTTGTTGGTACTAGTATGTGCTTGTTCATTCGTTCTCAATGAAGATTGGTAGCTTGTATTCACCAATCATTGTAATCCTTGTATTGAAGCCTATTGTTATCGTGTTATTGTCTTGATTGTTCCTTTCATGTCTTTCATTGAAGCCTTACGATTGAATATCTCGTTGTTATCTAGTACATATGTTGTACTCTATTGATTGATCTTGATTGGGCTATTGATGAGCCTCAATCTTCTATGTCAATGACTATGTGATTGTTATGAGATTGGTGGTAATGAGCTTTGCCCACTTGATTGGCGGGATACTATCACGTGATTAGTACTATATTATTATGACATTGCGTATGTCTATGAGATCGACGGCATGCTGGCGGAAGCAGGCGGGAAGAAATGGCTCCAGGAGGGATAATGTTGGACTTGGTGTACTGGGTGGCACTTGGAGGTACATGTTGGAACTGAAATAAGGTTGGAATGGTGATATAAGGTTGGAACCGGGCATAAGGTTGGAACATGTCATTGGTTGCGATCTTTGACTTTCATTTGATATGAGCATGTATTGATGTAATCCTTCATGTTATGATGTTACCTTGATTGATATTGATGATCATTTGCTATTGATGATTCCATTGTTCTTATCGTTCTATTGACCTCTTGATTTATCGTATGATGGTCGGTTGATTGAGAGTGTTCCATGATGAGTCTTATGATGTTTCTATTCCTCGTTTTAAAAGACTATATATTATGTATTCCAAGTCTCAAATTGTTTTCTTATATCTATAATATATGTACTCAACGAGTAGTGGTGGGTTACTTAGCATTATTCGCTAACGGGTGCTACCCCTTATGTTTTACAGGTACAAAGTAGATCGTTGTGAGCACACTAAAAGATGGATTAGTTTAGCGTAGCTCCCTTTTGTCCCTTAGCTAGTTATGGAGGCCTCTGTGCCTATAGATTTGAACTTGTGAACTTGATACTATGTTTTGGATGGTTAAGTATTTGTCTCCTAGCATGTGCATCTAGCTTTTAGTTAGATGTGGCGTGACATTCCCCAATTGACTGTTAGCTTCCATGACTCTTAATGTTTAATGTTTAGTTTTTATCTCTGTCTTTAGGCCTTAACTACCTTTGTTTATTGCTTAAAAATCGGGGGTGTTATAAGCACACTGACGTATTAAAATGGAGGAGGTATGCTGAAAAGACGAAATTACCCCTATTTAACGGGAATATTGACGGAGGACCTAAATTGTCCTCGACACAATAAGCGTGTCTACAAATTGTCTAATTTTTTTAAGGAGGACAAAAATTATCCGTGATACTATAAGTTTAGGACAAAAATGTCTTTTACTCTCAAAAAAAAATTATATTGAATGTGATACATTTTAAATTTATATTATACTTTTTTATATCTCACATATTGGGTTGCTTTGTTATAAATTAATCAAATAAGTTCTTATCACATTGTATAATATTTAATGTTAAAAAGTTTATGCAAAAGTTATTGTCTCGTTTTACTATACCATTAACGATTAATGAAATTATTATTTTAAGAAACAAATTAAAGAAAAATTAATATTGTCTCTTTTTTTATATAGTTGGTGATTATTGAGATTATTATTTAAAAGCTAGCAAAAAAAAAAAAAAAAAAAGGTTGAAGATGATGAGTTTATAATAATTTTAAACAATTATGACCAATACGCATCGTTCGCAATAATTTATGGTAGAAGAAAACGGAATCTGGCACCTTAGACCAACTCAACCATCTCAACATTATATTTTCATTTTGCAATGAAATTATCTTATGTGTTTATAGTAAGCTCGTCTAGTACAACTTGCTAGTAAATATGCCAAAGTTATTGTTAGAGTGGCAATTCAGTTCGATTTTCTCGATCCGAACTAGTAATATACCGAAAAATTAAATAATTCGAAATTCTTGTAAATCGAACAATTCCTAAACAAATTTGACACTGATCATTATAATCGTGCGAACTAGTAAAGAAAGAAAAAATCTCTCTCTAGAAGTCTAGGGTTTTCTCTCCACTACTAGGGTTTATTCCTAGGTTTTCACTAATTTTCCATCACTGTTCTACGGCAATTGCCGGTTTGTTGACGACGGAGCACGGAGAACAGCGTTGTATGCATGGCGACTTCAGCAGAAGGAGGCGGGGTGGAGGGTGTGACGTGGCAGTGGGCGGATCTGGTGATTGCGGCGGAAGAGGAGAGGTTCGAACCGGTTCTGGACGGAGTGGATGATGCGCCGGTGGATGCACAGCCGGTGTGGTCATTGGTTGGCCGATTCTTGACACGCAAGCTAGTCAAGTTGGAATTCATGCGAGAGGTCCTAGCCTTGGTTTGGCAATCGGTACAGGGGGTCCAAGTAACAGAAATCCAACCACGGCTGTTCCTATTTGTTTTCTTCCATAAAACAGACATGGAACGTATTTTGAATGATGGACCATGGGCGTATGAGAATGCAACCCTAGTTTGTAGACAAGTGGTTGATGGTATGAGGCCAGAGGATGTGGTACTGGATACGGTTGATATGTGGGTGCAGGTGCATGGGTTACCAATGGGACATACATCAGAAAAAATATTAGAGCAGGTTGGTAATTATCTTGGCGGTTTTGTTAAGTTTGATGACCGACTTCTGAATGTGCCATGGAAGGCTTTCTATCGCATTCGGGTGGCTATTCCTGTGGACAAACCGATTAAGAGGCGCATGAATTTTGTGAAACGAGATAAGTCTACATGCTGGGTCTCGTTTAAGTATGAGCGTTTACACAATTTTTGCTTCTATTGTGGGTGATTGTAGCAAAAATAAGATGTGAGCTCGGGTGTTTTATATCGTCCTCAGGGGATTGGGGGTTATGACACGCAATATGCAATCACAAGAAACTAGGCACTAGCATAAGGAAATCAACAAGAAGCTAAGCAAATCATAACGAGATTGAGGCTACGCTAACTAAACAAAGTAACACAAACACATAGTAACAAGATGTAAACACGAAATAAAGAAATAGGACTCAAGCTAGGGAGCATTATCATCTAGATGCTTTAACAACCTAAGGGATTAGGGAGAACAAGTAACCAAGGAATCAAGCGGGAATGCACATAGGTATCCTAGTCTACGAACCATTCTCGTAATTAATAAACAAGGATTAGAACAAGGAATTGCCCCACTTTCGTGGTGAATCAATTCCAAGTCCATCAAGCACACAAGCATCTAAAGCCCCAAATTTCCCCTATTTTCGTAGGAAGAAATCGGGTCTATGCAAGGGGTGGCTTGGATTCATCATCCAACTCTCGTTGAGGCAAGGAATCCTCCAAAAACAAGCTAATGAATGTGTACATCAAACATTAACAAGATATAAACACAACACCTTCATAAACACATGAACCCTAGGTAGTGTTCTTCCCCTTTTTTTACAATAATCACAAATCAAGCATCAAGATAGATAATACAACCCTAACTCAAGTCCATAAACTAACTACTCATGATTAAATAGCATAAAGAACACAAAAACACAAGCATTAAACATAAATCTAGCAAAAGAAAGAGATAAAAGGAAGAAAGCTTCTCTATTGAAAATGGATGGTGGAATCTTGAAATGTTGGAATCCAAGCTTCAAAAGTGTTAAGAAACATAAATCTAAGCCTAATCTAACCTAAAAATATGAAGGGAAGTAAATGAGAGTGTCTAGGGTTCTAACAAGAGTCAAAACCAAGTTGAAATGACACAAAAACGCGCCTAAATAGAGCATAGCAGATTGGGACGCCCTCAGGGATGGGCATACGCTAGGGGGTACGATTTTTGGTACATTTCCAGTGAAAACTGGATCAGGGAGAAGAGATGCGTATGGGCGTATGGCAGGGCGTACGAGGCTGCTGGAAACAGAATTCTGTGCACTTGTCTTGACTTCTAGGCTATGTTTCTCATATAATACCATTTTATTGGCACTTATGGTCTTCAACAAAGTTGTAGACCTTTAAGTTTTCTTTCCAATGGTGCAAGAATCACTCCATTTGGACATTTCTAGGCCGAGATATGGTCAAAAAACCAAATAGTGTCAGTTTTGAATTGTAAGTTTGGAACTTCAACTTCAAGGATAATTTCGACCACCGTGAATTCCTTTTTAGGCTTTGATGTCTGAATATGAGTTGTAGCTCTTTGAGTCTTCTTTCCAATGGGACAAGAATCACATAAATTGGATATTTTTAGACCGAGATATGGCCCGAAAACAGAACAGTGGACAATCCATGCGAGAATTTCAGCTTGTTGACACTTGTTCCACTTTTGCCTTGGTTTAATTTGTCCATATGATCAACACCATTGAAAACATCACTCTTTGGCTTCTTTGGAAGTGTTGCATCCATCTCCTTAGCTTCACCTTGGCTCCCCTTGACTCCAAATGCATCCAACATGATCTAAAATCCTTCATTTCTACTCAAAGATAATGAATTGTGCATAATGGATCAAATGAGCAAAATTAAGATCATTTTGAACAACATTGTGACACTTCATAAGCAAAACAAGGCTAAATATTGAGTAGACATGGGGTATAAATATGAACAATTATGCACTTATTAGTGGGCTCTTGGGGCATTTATACAAATTCTGTATTCATGCACGGAATGCTGCTATCCCAGTGGAGCAATATCCGTTTTCAGCAGAGTTGAGGGCGGGGTTGAGGAGAGGGCCGAGGGGTGTTGGTGAGGGGTGGTTGGTGCCGGTGGAGGGGAAAGGGGCGGAGGGGGTATAAGGGAGGTTGGCCGAGGGGTGAGGGTGCCGGAACGGGAGATGGTGGGTACGGTCACGGCAGTTGCCAAACGTCGCAGGGAGGGGGAGGGAGGTGGGTTGAGAAGGGAGGGTAGTGATGTATTGATGACTGATCTCTCAAAAAACTTGAATATGGCGGGTGCTGGTTCCCAGACCCGCCCAGCATCATGAGTACGTTAAGTTGGAACTGTCGTGGCTTGGGTAATCCACGAACAGTTCGGGAGATTGTGGACATGGTGTCCAGTAAGAAACCCGACTTTGTATTTCTTATGGAAACCATGGTTGGCCAAGATCATGTAGAGCGGCTCCGGGTGAAACTTGGTTTCGATGGTGTGTTTAAAGTTGATAGTGTAGGAACGAAAGGAGGTTTGGCATTATTATGGAGAACGAATGGTACGGCAAGCCTGTTGAGTTACTCAAAAAATCATGTGGATATTGAGGTAACAATGCCGGGGTTTGAAAACTGGAGGATGACAGGGTATTACGGTTATGCGCAGAGGGAGAGACGGAATGACTCTTGGGAATTCATTAAGTCCTTATCGCATCGTTCTGAGTTGCCATGGGTTATTATAGGAGATTTTAATGATCTCTTATATCAGTATGAGAAGCGAGGGGGGAATCCCCATCCAGAGACACTATTACGGGGCTTCGGGGAAACTATTGATGAGTGTGGACTAGCACAATTACCTATGCAGGGATACCCGTTTACCTGGGAAAGAGGGGAGGGGACTGTAGACTGGATTGAGGAGAGGTTGGACAAGGTGCTGGTTACGCAGGAATGGCGAGATGTGGTGAGGGAGGCAAGTGTTTCGAACATTCTAACCCGACGCTCAGATCATTCTGCGCTTTTCCTTGGGATTCTGAATCTTCGGGAAAGGACAGGTGGTGGGAGGAGGGGGTTCCGGTTTGAGATGGCTTGGATGCATGATGAGGGCTGTAGGGGAGTGGTTGAGACGACGTGGACTGAAGGAAGAGATAGGGGTTTGCAAGCCTGTATCGAGTTGTGTGGCAATAAATTATCACGATGGGGAGGTGATAAGTTTCACAAGTTTGATGAGCAGATGAGGTGCCTGCGCAAAGAGCAGTTGCGGCTACGGGGATGCACTGATCAAACTTCTTTAGCCGAGTATCAGCGGTTAGAAGAACGTCTGGCTCGATTAGAGGCTCAGGAGGATGCTTTTTGGAAACAGATGGCGAAACAGCACTGGCTGAAGGGGGCAGACGCGAATACTAAATTCTATCACAGGTATGCCTCTCACCGTAAAAAGAAAAACACACTCTCTAAAATTATGAATGATGATGGGGATTGGGTGGAGAGAGATGCCATGAGAACGACTATTTTTTATTATTATCGGAATATTTTTGAGTCAAACCAGTCTCAGATGGATGAAAATTTTTATGCCAATGTCTTGCCTCGAGTGTCACCTGCACAAAACGAAGCCCTACTGCGCCCCTTTGAAAAGGAAGAGGTAAAAACGGCCTTGTTTGCTATGTTCCCAGATAAGGCACCTGGTCCGGATGGAATGAATCCGGGTTTTTATCAGCAGTTCTGGGATGTGGTGGGAGGAGATGTGTTGGACTTTATTGTGAACTGTTTGAATACACGGATCTTTCCAGCCAACTTGAATGATACTGATGTGGTTCTAATACCGAAGAAGAAAAATCCAGAACGGGTCTCGGATCTCAGACCCATAGCGTTGAGCAATGTGATATACAGGATCATGGCCAAGATGATTACAGCCAGGATGAAACCACTCATGGATGGGATTATTTCTGATACACAGAGTGCATTCATATCGGACAGATTGATTACAGATAACATCTTAATTGCTGCAGAAGTTGGCTACTTTTTGAATAGAAAACAGTGTGGGAAGGTGGGATGGGGTGCTTTAAAGTTGGATATGGCAAAAGCCTATGACCGTATGGAATGGCCCTTTCTGCGAAATATGTTAACAACCTTGGGTTTTAATAGTGTATGGGTGGATCTTATCATGTTATGCGTGACTACTGTGTCGTATAATGTCAAGTTGAATGGAACCTGAGGTTTGCCTATCGTCCCGTCTCGCGGACTCAGGCAAGGAGACCCGTTGTCCCCATATCTATTTATAATCTATGCGGAGGGACTCTCTTTACTATTACAACAGGCACAGGTACGGGGAGCAATTCACGGATGCAGAGTTGCAAGGGGTGCACCCTCTATTTCACACCTATTTTTTGCTGATGACAGCTTATTATTCTTTAAAGCAAATGTGCAGGAAGCAAATGCAGTAAAGCAATGTTTGACACGATATGAAAATTTATCTGGCCAGGTGGTGAATTATCATAAGTCCAGCATATGCTACAGTAAGAATACACAGTACGAGGATAGGGATGAAGTGGCACAGATTCTTGGGGTTGCTCAGGCACCAAACTTTGGGAAATATTTGGGGCTCCCCTCATTTGTAGGAAGGAATAAGAAGGCAGCGTTTTCATATATCGAAGATAAGATAAGGCAGATGATCCTTTCTTGGAATAAGAAGTTGTCAAGCTGGTAAGGAAGTCTTGTTGAAAAGTGTGGCCCAGGCAATGCCTACTTTCTCAATGAGTGTTTTCTTATTACCTATGGGGATTTGTACAGCTATTGAGCGAACCATGAACCGGTACTGGTGGTGGGGATCTGGGAATGAACGTGGAACCCATTGGAAGGCTTGGGACAAATTATGTATACCAAAAAAGTATGGTGGTCTGGGTTTCAAAGAACTGCATGCTTTTAATATAGCAATGCTGGGTAAACAGGCATGGCGATTACTAACAAAACCTGACTCTTTGGTCTCACGAGTTTACAGAGCCAGATATTACCCAAGAGGGACCTTTTATGATGCCAAAATAGGGAATAATCTCAGTTTCTGTTGGCGCAGTATAATGGCAGCTCAGGGCATGGTTTGTGGTGGAATCAGACGCAGAATTGGAAATGGAAAAACAACCCTCATCTGGGATCATCCATGGTTACAGGATGAACAAGACCCAATGATTCATACAAATAAGCCCCCATATTTAAATAATGCAGCAGGGATTAATTGATCATGAGACACAGACCTGGGATCCGGATATATTGACAGATATTTTTAATCCTGCGGATGTGGATAGGATAAGAAAAATCCCAGTATCGCCGGATTATGAAGATATGTGGTATTGACATGATGATCAGGGAGGAAACTATACTGTTAAGAGTGACTACAAAACAGTTGCGGGGAACCTCAATGATAATACTGGCACTCATAATTGGTTACGCCTCTGGAAGTTAAAAGTCCCCCCAAATGGAAAACATTCTTATGGAAAGCTTTGAGTGGTATTCTCCCTACTACAACAAATTTGATTATAAAGAGAGTGGAAATACAACCAACATGTGCTATGTGTGGGATAATGGATGAAGACACAATGCATGCTTTAGTAACATGTGGTTATGCAAGTTCCATTTGGACACAATCTCACCTTCCAATCCCCATGCTAACAACAAATATTTTTCATACTTGGTTTAGTGATCTATTAAATATTTTAGACACTAACCAAATTGTTCACGCAGCTGCAATTTTATATTATATTTGGAGGACCAGAAACGGAGCGGTATGGGATGCATGTCTACCGCGACCACGGAAAGTGATAGCCTTGACCGAAGCCACCACACTTGCATGGCAACGTATCCACCCGACCCATCGCCAAGCAAACCACCAAGCTGCCGCACAGGGTCCCATTACCGCCACTGCCGCGACACGGCAGCAGCAGCAACGAACCGCTGTCGACGGCCTTGTGGCTGCCGTGGAGGGGGTACTACTGGAGGCAACCGAGCCAATACGGAGATGTTATGTCGATGCCGGGTTTATGCCGGCTACAGGAAAAGCTACGGTTGGCGCGATTTTGTTGAACAAGGAAGGGGAATATGTATCGGCATTCAGTGCACCCTTATCAGATTGTCTCTCCCCGCTTATGGCTGAGGCGATAGCATGTAAGGAAGCCTTGTCTTGGTTATGGAATCGTGGGGAACGCTCTGTACGCTTACTCACAGATTGTTTGACCCTACAACAATATTTGACGAATCAAGCTGTCACGGTTCGGACTTATGTTGGCTACGCTATTAGTGCTTGTAAAGCACGCATTACCTCTTTTGATTACTGCTCAGTTAATTTTATTCCTAGGTCAGAGAACTATTTAGCTCATAGTTTAGCGGCTTCTGCATTTAATTATTCTACGATTATGTATTCGGACGATGTCCCCCAGACTCTATTTCTGAGTACTTTTAATATATGCCATATTGGCCACCTTTCAAAAAAAAAAATGTTAAAAATCAAACCGAAAAATCGAATCGAATAATTTTTCGGTTTTAATAATAAAATAATAATAATAATAATAATAATAATAATAATAATAAGTAAATTCAAGTTCCTTGATGTCTGCTCCGCCGTTCACTTTCTATTCTCACTTATATCTCTCTTAATTTTTTTATATAATTTCTTTATGGCTTGTTCTCTACTTTTCACTTTTGTTGTTTGCCACTTTTATTTTTTACATCACAATTATATCTAAATTGAGTTATTCTTACAATATTCAATATTTTCCTTAGTTTCATGTTTCTATGAAATTATTGTGCTTTCACATCATTCTAATTTTGATTTTCAGTGCACTGGAATTATTTTATAGTATTGGAATATATTTTTAGTGCATTGAAAAATAATATTTCAGTGCACTAGCAATGATGGATTGTGTCCAAAAATTAACTATACAGTACTTGACACTTGTTCTCCAAATATTAACTATACATATGATTCTCCATCTTGTCAATAAAATATTCTAAGTGAGTCAACTAAAGAGGTAGTTGTGCAAAAAAAAAAAAACAACTGATATTTGGTAATTAGTACTTAGTAGTGTGTTTGAACTTCGAATTGCTATTTTGTTATATAATCTTTAGACTTTAGGTTTGGACTATGTGAATATGTATTGTTTGGTTGTGTGTTTGTAAAATTAGAAAATATTAAAATTTGGGGTTCCTAAACCGAATTGAATATCGAACCGAACCAAAACCAAACTTTTTCAAATCAAATCGAAATCGAACCAAACTATAATGTTAAATGTTAAAGCGAATGGTATCATTTGTTAATATCGAAGTACCGAAATCGAAACCAAAACCGAAAAATCGAACTGAACATCGAAATGTCCACCCCTAGTTATCTATATACAAATACACAGTTATATTCAGGGATGATAATTTTATTCCATTCCTTGGATACCTACCTGCTAGAATTACATTAAATGAATTGAAATTTTTTAGTTGATAGAAAGTGATGAGTCTTACCAAATTAAACTCGTAATTGGTTAGATTGGATGCAAGTTTTATATACAAAATTCTAACAGAATCGTATTCAACCTACCACATTGTTGTTGTTTTTATTTGGAGAAATATTTATATTTCCACATTGTTGTTATTATTACTAGTTTTATACATAATGACTATTTCCCATGCTTATATTTAAATAAATATTTCAAATTATATAAATGTAAGATTATATAGAAAAGTTCATATACAGGTAATTGAATGTCGAATTTGTTCATTTAAATAGATAATTCAAAATATATGAATGCAAAATAATATAGGAGCTGAGATTTATTATAATTGTGATTAAAATAAATGTTTGTAACTTTGTAAAATCGACAGTCTAAAAACGATAGTCTAAATAAATACTACTTATAGAAGATTCATAAGTAGTACCTCTTGTTCTATTTTCATAACTGGTTTACTTGATAGTAACAACAATTACTCTATAGGTAGTTCGAATACTGATGCCGTAACATGTCAAATTTTATCAACAATTTTCATATTCATTTGCACATGTTCAATGCCAATTTAACTAGACAAATACCTAATTAAATACCAGTCAACTATAAACAATCTAATACTTTTAAGTGGTGATTACCGAGTTTCTTGAAAGTGACTGTCTCCAAGTCATTAATGCCATCGATTCTTATAAACGGTCCGCGAAGAGGGTTGTCTATTTGCTAGCTCGGGAAGCCCTGTCTTTGTCTGGCTGTTCGGACTGCTCTTCAGTCCTTTTTCCTTCCATTGTTGTTGCTTTGAACTCTGATTTAAATTAATATAGTATCCTTGTTTTTTGCTTTTAGAAAAAAAATAACAATGACAAATTTATTAAGGAGAGTAGATGAAAATAAAAAAAAATAAAAAAAAAAAGTTGATGAATCAATATTAGATACATTGCATTTGCATCGTAATTTACTACCTTTTCTATTTTTCAGTGTGAAATCATTTTTAATTTTCAATTTTAAATATTAAGATGACTCCACCTACTCTTTTTTTTTTTTTTTTTAATAAAAAATTGTTTTAGTTTCCTTCCAATCCACTGTAATCACACCTACCACCCTTTTCTTCAGAAAATAAAAGAAAATAGTTGACACACAAAATAAATAAATAAAAATTAATTAATGCCTACATTATATTTTCTTTGCTTGACTCATGAAGCTGGCATTCGCGTTTGACATTTATCGCCTATGGTGACATTTTTACCTCTAATTTTAAACTTTTTTTTAACTGAGTATGTTACAATATAATATATATTCATAGTTAATTTCTCAACCTACTAAATCACAAAGAGTCAATACTACTCAGCTCAAACTCATAATCTCAAATTTGAGAGAGTCACTTTATACCACTAAACCACAATGTCATTGGCCAATTCTAAGCTCTTTAATTTGACTACAATATTATATAAATGCTACCATAATTGGAGAGTAAATTTAGAATTAACTCAAATAAAAAATTGATTATATCATCCATCCAAGTATTTTAAAATTTGCAACAATATGGGCATATGGCATTTCTTAAAAAGGTTTGCTGAGGTACTACTGTATTAGAAATAAGGAAAATATTTAATAAGGCAATTTAAACGGTGCCAAAAGAATGTCAGGATGTGAAATGTTTAAAATATTCAAAAAAAAAATTAACAAACATATTTCCTCTATATAAGTACTCTTTCAATAGTTTACAATGTTCCTTTAATTATCATTCGGAATTTTTTTCTTTCCAATAGTACTGGGAAGTTCATGGAATCGTTTTGATAGATGTGTGGGGTTCCGTGTTTGCCGATCAAATGCTCTAACACACACAAACCCTGTTTGACATGTTAAACACAATATAAAAATTTGATTTTTTGAGTTATATAAATATTTTATGTTAATAAAAGAAATTTCATACCATTCCAAAAACATTGTTGGATCTCGTCCATCTCCATACCTAATTGTACATATTAAAGAATATTATTAGTATTGACATTCAAAATATGTTACAATATAATACCATATTTATTTTTTACCTTTCGTTATTGCTGATGTAGTACTTCCACAATATACATAACTTCGTTTCAAATTCCATATCAATTTTCGTGGAACATTTATTGGGCACTTACTGGATTCATGATCAGCAAATACCTATCAAAAGAAATAGGTAAGTTAAATCCTAAATTCTAATAAACTAAAAAGTAACTCATTGAAATAAAAAGTACCTCATTGACTTGAAAATATGTTCCATTTAGGGGAAAGCTTCCTTTGTTTGCTGTTCGACATGGTATCTAAACATTCATTTTAGATGTCATCAATTCTTTGAAATGCATTTATCAATATGACAATATGATAATAATACTTACCAAAATCGTTCCACAAACTGTATTTGTTTGTGAACTGCTTTCCTTTCCATTCAAAAATTCTGTTTTTCAAATAAAATACAAATATTTTATACAACATACAAATATACAAATTTTGAGTTTAACATTACATACAGCAATCCTTATAATTACCTTTTGGCCAAATTGCAAGAAGATAGGGGCAAGGATCATCATGTTCTCGTAGATCAAACTGTACAAATTTAAATTAGGCATCGTAGGCATCAAAACATATATATAATAATAATAATGTAAAAGAGAAACTCACCCCAAACAAGAGTGGATGTGAATCTGGAACAACATAGCTGCATCATGATAAAAATATTAGTTTATGATAACTATCATTTGATTTAGGAACTG